GCCCTGACATAGATCAGCCCAGAGGTTGTTTCAGGGTTCAATCTGTGAGTTAGCCATGCCCTGACATAGATCAGCCCAGAGGTTGTTTCAGGGTTTAATCTGTGAGTTAGCCGTGCCCTGACTTTGATCAAACCAGAGGTTGTTTCAGGGTTCTATCTGTGAAATAGCGGTGCTCTGACCTACACCATCTATGGAAATTAATTCAATGGCAAAGCTAACGTAATACCTTTCCATCAGCGGTACATGCAGCAAAGACAGTGGATGCATAAGGAGCCCAAGTGACGTCACCCACTGAACTATTAAGGTCAAAGGTGAACATTGGCTCTCTGAAAAAACATTTACAACTATTAGTACCTTATCTATTGTATAGAGCTTCCTAATCACATGCACACGCGAAATCCTACAATATGTCGCGACAAAGTAGGTTTCTGATGCACGCCAATCAAAAGYGTTACCATGACATTGTTGTGAAACGAAGTTTTGAAGGCACGTGTCTATGGAATGTCATGGAAACGCCTTGATTGACGTCCACCATTATCTTAATTCGTACTGTAAAGACAACAAACAGTTTTATCTATACGTACAAGTGGGTGTGGTCCCATATTTTAACAGTCCAGTCAGCACTCGATGAAATAAAGATTTTCGGGTGGAAATGATTCCATTTAACGGAGTACACAGCCATGTGATGTGCCTGCAGGTGTAACAATTAGATCTTATTAACCGAGCGGGAGATCTGTACGGGATAATCTTGACCGAGGTCGGAATGTACAGACCAAGCGCAGCGAGGTCTGTACCCGACCGAGGTCAAGATTATCCCGTACAGACCGACCAAGCTCGGTTGATAAGAGTTTTATTATATGACCACTTTTCATTGAAAAGGACAAAATGTTTTCGCCGTAAGATTAATATGCGATCGGACCGGTTAATACCGGAGAATCTAGACCAGTCCGCGATGCGATCTATCCAATCAGATTGCTCGATTTGCTAGTGTCCAGGCTCAAAGATTCACGGTCATATAATAACATGTAATATTCAATAGAAAAGAGGTGTCAAGGGGGGTTGGGTGGGGTCACTGGGGTATGGGGGGTGTCACAAGCGGTTGGGTGGGGTCACTGGGGGTTGGGTGGGGTCACCTGGGTATGGGGGAGTTACAGGCGGTTGGTTTGGGTCACTGGGGGTTGGGTGGGGTAACGGGTGTAGGGGAGGGGAGAAGGGATTTTTTTCTATTTTCCTGGAGGCCTGAAGTTGGGGTAGGGGGAAGGAGTGGCGGATCCAAGGTTCGCTCACCCCCATTCCTGGCAAGCAATGCCTGGAAAATAAAAATAATATGGAAAACTGAAAATTTTGTAAACCATATACAGGGTTCCCCCTGCACTTGAAGTTTCTGCCTTTGGTACAAATCCTAGTTTCTCCATGGGAGGAGTGCGTAGCGTTTATTTGAAGCCCCTTTTTATGATGGTGAATAGCTCTGGCATCAACTAATACCTCGAATGTTTCCAGGAACTGACTGGAATATGTCTTGGAGCACTTGTGGATTTTGCCTTCTTCAGTACCTTTAACAAACAAACAAAGCTTGTATTCATTCAGTCGAACATTCAGGGAGTGATGTGATTGGTCTGGCAGTGCCGTGACCTTGGCGTGACTTACCGCGTCATGTTCGTGCCATGTTTCGGGCATTTGATTGGATTGAAAATAAATTATCGTGCAATGTGATTGGTCTGTCAGTACCGTGATCTTGGCGTGACACGTGCCGAGCTATGTCCGTGCCATGTTTCGGGCATTTGATTGGATTGAAAATAAATTCTCGTGCAATGTGATTGGTCTGTCAGTACCGTGATCTTGGCGTGACACGTGCCGAGCTATGTCCGTGCCATGTTTGGGGTGTTTGATTGGATGGAGAGTAAATTATCACGCAATGTGATTGGTCTGGCGTATGCATTGCCGTGTCACGACAGTGTTCGTGCCATGAGATTTTCACAGTCATACGAAAACTGCTTTCATTTTCCTCATCACATTTCACATTAAAACGACCGCGATAACGATTTCACATGAATACCTCTTACCATTCCTGATATCTTACACATCTATATTTATTTATGACTTACCAACGAGAAATAAGTAGTCTATCGTTTTGTGAAAATCAAACGACGTACCACACCCTAAACAACAATAAACATATCATCATTATCCACTTGTATCATACTCTAGAGGGAATACTATCATTGCATTATGATTGGTTAATCAACTCGGCTCGGCTATGGGCACATGTGACGTCATCCATGATGGTGCCCAAACCACCATGTTGGCTGTCTTGGTTTGGTTTCGGGCATTTGTTCGTCATCCAACATGGCGGCCATACTTTGCTCTTTGTGACGTCATGGCCGCCATGTTGGCTGACTTTAAAAGATTTTGTATGTTTTCGGG